TATATGAGAGAGAGAGTTACTGTCAAATCGCTTTGAACCCTGAATCTCTATTATCCTGGCAATTTCTTTCTTCTGTATTGAAATTACTCATAGCAACCTTCCACTAGGTGGTGCACAGTCATTTGATAGTCTGGTTCCAAGGCCAGGAACTGATCATTCTTTTTAAAGTTTCAGCATATGAATATTTTGTGGCTCATTATATAAAGACAGAATATGTGTGCATCATCTTGCAATGTTCAATCTTTCATCATAAGAGCAAGCAAAAATCTTTTTGTTCATTACAGTGGTGGTAGATTATGTCTAATATTTAAGACACCTTTAAATTGCCTTCCATTAGGCCATTAACTGTCCACTGACTGTTTATACCCATGGCCTGTGTGATTTCCTATAAATCATCATTAAAAAGGGAGTAAATATTAATGACTTTATTTTACAAATAAAACACGTCAGACCCATGACTTACCAAAGGACTATGGCAAGGACATTATAGGTGAGAAGCTAGGACCCGGAACAGTTGGTAGCCCTCAGCTGTTGCTGCTCATGGGCATATCATCCAGCTTTGAACGTTATGCACTGGAGGTTATTCTACCAAGTGTGTCCTGGGTAACATTAAATCCTTTGGCAAAAAGCTAAAAAAAAAAAAAGCTATTTTTTTTTTGCTTTTCTAGAAGTAAATAAATGTTATTGAACACTGTGATCTGCCATATTAATTTATTTTGAAAAATAATCTACCCTTTGATAAAATCTTTGTTACATAGAAAAGTATATTTCAATACTAATAAAACCAAATTTAATAGACTCTCTTCTTGTTCAGCTTTGCATAAAACTAAACTGTATTAGCTACTTAATAAGAGTATGTTTTGTTTTTATTTTTATTAATCTGTACCCTGCCTAAGATAAATTAATCTTTAAATATCTATAGAATCATATAACTTACCATGCAATATGTTAGCTTTTGTATGTGTGTGTATCTTATTAAATTAACTACTAATCTAATAAAATTTTCAATGGAGATCACCCTGTTCATTTTGCTATTTTTAGTATAGAGAAATTGACTGAAGTAGCTCGCTACTACATTGAAACATCTACAAAAATTCAAAATGAGATTTATTTAAGCCAAGAAGACTTCTACATCAATGGAGACATAAAAGTCTTCCCAGATGCTGTCCCACCGACCCGTCCTCCACCAGTAGAAAAGGAAGAAGATGGCACCCTGACAATCGAACAGCTTGACAGTCTCCGAGATCAGTTCTTAGATATGGCACCGAAAGGTAAGAAAAGAATCACCACAGATGAAACCCGAGATGATTAGAATTGCCTGTGGTGGCTATCGCTTGGCAAGAAGATGAGTGAGCTCTGTTGGAGTGTGTGGTACCGCAAGGAGACCCTGCTCTGTTCCAGTTTGTCAGCTATTTGCTCTAAAGGGCATCCATCTGAATTAAAACAAGGAAGAGAGTTACAGTGACTGACACTCCAGCAGTGTGGGGGTGTGGCAGTGGGCATCCTTGATAACTCTTTTCTCCTGTCTTCCTCCTCCTTTGACTCCACTTGACATATGGAAGGTAATCTTGGTTCATACTTCTAAGTAGAGATGTATTGGGGATGCTGAGTTTGTGTTTCTATCTATCCAGGGAGGGGATACTAGGAAGTGAAGTATGTCCCTCTTTAGAACTGCCTTTTCCTTCAGTGCCTCGAAGATCTGGATCAGAACAAATGAGTTACTGAAAGATACGTGCCTAATTTATTTGGTCACCTGAATGCTTACATTATTTTCTTCACATAAATTCTTGAATACCTTCCTATTTGATCATGACAGGTTTATGCCTTCTGCACTGAGTCTCACCAGTTAGTATCCTATGTAAATTCAGACTGATATGTGTGTAGGAATCATCTAGAATCACCAGAACCAAACACTGCATCACAGAGCTGTTAAGCAGTATGTTTATGGCCATATAAATTTTGTTTGTTCCTCTTATGTGTGAACAAAGTTGTCTTTCAAAAATAGGTTTATTATAATTCTCCAAATGTCCTAATTATTAGGAAAGCTTTTCTGTAGAGACACTCCATGGGTTTTAACATAAACTCAGTTTCACTTTTTGAAAATTGGTCCCAGTATTTCCAGAAATCCAAAGAAAATATCATTGAAAGCAACAATGATAACTCACTCTATAGTCTATGGTTTCCTTGCCAAGACCAATGGGTATCAAGGTGTACATATGTTTGCTTGTGTCAGGTCATCAAATAGCTTGAGAAATCTTTATGCATCCAATGTATATAAACACCCAATGTGTCTAAGGACAGACATGATGGCAATATTTGGACAAGATTAATGTGGACACTAGCAAATGCCAAAAATCCAACTTTGTCAGAAGCCAACTCCAAAATCCTGTTACCTTCTAGCAAGACAGAGTCTATCCTCTTTCCCTTGAATGAATTTTATAATGTATTTTAAATTTGTAATTTAGTGTGTGTGTGTGTGTGTGTGTGTGTGTGTGTGTGTGTGTGGTGCCTTCATGAAATATGTGTAAATACATCATGGACATGCCTGGTGCTGGTGGAGATCAGAGGCAAGCATCAGAAGCCCTGGAACTATTGTCACAGGTAGTGGTGAGCCACCTTGTGGATACTGGGAGCAAACTATAGGCCCTTCAGTTAAGTGCCATTGCCCCAACCTCCACAATGCCTTTTTATCACATGATTTCCTTTTGAAGTTGGAGTGGCTATTCATTTTGTCCATGCTATATATTTACATACAAAATAATGGTGACTGAGAGGAAACGATCTGATTAGTGGACTAACAGAACCATTTAGAGGCATTTGAGTAGTTAAAAGTGAACTTTTGAAGATTATAAGTCATTAATAATTTACTTCTAAAGGGATCCAAGTAATTATGGTGAATATCCTAACACATTCTTCAATATATCCTCAAAGTCAAAGATGACATTCCCGGCTAAGAATTTAAAACTAAGTAGCAAATGGTATTTTACAACCTCTCATATCTCAATATATAAACTCTAGAAACATTGGAATAAAAGTATGTCCACAGATAAAATTTATCTTTTTTATGAGTATAATAAATAGGGAAAGACCATTTTCAGACAATAATGAAACAGCAAGATTGATGTTTTGGTCACTGTTCTATTGTGAAGAGACACTATGTCCATGGGAACACTTATAAAAGAAAGCATTTAATTGGGGTTTGCTTAAAATTTTATAGATTTAGTTCATTTTCAACATGGCAGGGAGCCTGGTGGCAGTCAGGCAGACATGGTTCTAAAGAAATAGTTGAGAGTTCTTCATCTGGATTCTCAGGTTGCAGAAAGAGAGTGATACTGGGCTTGGCTTGGGCCTTTGAAACCTCAAAGCCCACTCCCAATGACAAACTTCCTCTAAACAGGGCCTCATCTCCCAATCCTTCTCAAGTAGGGCTGCTCACTGATGACTGAGCACTCAAATGTAAGAGCTTATAGGGTCCTTCTTATCCAACCCACCACAAGAGAATGGATGGGGAAAGAGGAAAGTAAGTAATAGCTAAAAATTTTAAAAACATAATTAGAAAAAAACTATCTGCTATGGTAGAGTTTAGAATCTGACTTGAAAAGACAAAGAAAAATATAATATAAAGCAGTAGGTTAATTATGAGACAGAATATGAAATCTAGGAAAGTGCCCATGAGTGCAAAACAAAGAATTGGTGTGTAATGATTACGGCTCGTCCAAGAACAAAATATGTGGAGAAAAAGATTAGCAAATCTAAGGAAGCGTTGAGTGATTTGGTGACAAGGATCTAGAAGGTATTTAAATTTAAAAGAACAAACTTTAGAAAATGTATAGCAAAGAGTATAGGAAGATGGATGTTGAATGAGCTGTCGAGGGAGTGGCTGATATCTTATTTCCTCCCCCAGCTGGGTGAAAACTGCTGGAGAACAGCTGGTGAGTCTTTATCAGAGGAGTGCTCTGAACACACTCAGCTGGAGATATTGCACACACGGATAACTGCTGTCATTTAGACAGAGGGTACAGAGCTGGATATGAGATGTGGGATTTTCGATGATTCAAAGTTAGTTATGGTCTAAGTTTGATCAAATTATAAACAAACAACACCCAGCTGAAAAGAATATGCATGCTGTATGTTTATTTCTAGATCTATGCTAAACACTTAGTCATAGTGTTGGTGTCTCTCCAGCTGCAGTAATGTTCATGGCCATTGTTTTTGCTGTTGATTGCCTAAACATGGCCTGCACAAGACCACAGCAGCCAACACTGCGGCATAGATGGGGGAAGGGCTCAAAAGGCTCCACCCCTAGCTGAGGAGCTACAGACAGTCTGTGGCTACTGAAAAGGGGAATATGTTTTCTTCAGGTCAAGCCCCCTAAGAAGTAGACTGCTCAAGACAAAATGATTAGCCCTGTACTCATATGCACATGATCTACACCAACTGCATGTATACATAAAAATATATATACATATACATTTATATTATGTACATATGTATATATATTGAATGAGAAGAGTATATGTATTTAAGAGGCAAATGTGGGTGGGAGGAGTTCTTCAATAACCATGTGGAGGTTTTTTTTTAAAGGCAAAGACTCTTCAGATGCCGTGACTAAAGTCACCAGAAAGCAGAAAAAGGCACGGAAACTTGACTACTACCTACCAGAAAGAAACCATCAGTTTTTGAAAATCTGGCTCAAAAAGTACCCTTGGCTTGTATACGATGAGCTATTAAACATTATGTTCTGTGCTCTGTGTCGTAAGCACGGGGTGAAGTCGGGGGGAAGTCAAGTGAGTTTTTTCTACGGCACAGACAACTTCAGGGCTGAATTTCTCAGTGCCCACCACCTTAGTGAAGCCCATGCCAAGGCATCTCTGATGGAAGCGACAAGTGGTTCTCCAGTGAACAGAGCTGCCACTGAGATAGTGGTAAGGACCATGAGCAAAGTTACTCTTGGGAGAGTAGAGAACCTATTTAGATCATGTCATGCCCTAGCGAAGACTGGACGGCCCCTCAAAGACTTTCTTTGGATGTGTAAGCTGGATGATATGAAGGGTGTCGATATAGGCCCAGTCTTCAGAACTAATAAATCAGCAAGAACATTCACACATTACATTGCTGAAGTCGAAAGAAAAAATCTAAGAGAAAAACTAGAAAAAAGTAAATTTTTCTCGGTCATCAGTGATGGAACTATAGACAGTTTAGCCGAGGAAGTCACAATGGTCTATGTTCAGTTTGCACATGCAGGAAAAGTGCAATGTCAGATTGTCGGGGTACAGTCAGTAGAACAGAAGGACCCCTTGACAATAAAAACTGTTATTGAGAAAACTCTAGAGATGAATCTTCAACTTAGGCTGTCAAGCCATGACTGGGCAAAAAAGTTAGTTGGTTTTGGAAGCAGTGATTCCCCTGGAATGGAGGAAGAAAACCGAGTGGCCCTGCTTTTGAGAGAAATACAGCCATGTGTGCAAAGTGTGTATTGCTTTGCACATCACCTAGAAATGGCTTATAAAACAGTGTTCCAGAGTGTCCCTCTGTACCACGACCTCACGGGCCTCCTTACCAATATTTACCACTTCTACCGCCACTCTCCGCTTCTGAGGAATTCTCTCATAACTGCCTTCAGAGACCTCCACCTTAGACCTGTGATGCCTTCTCAAATCAGAGGCAGACAGTGGCTTCAAGAACTACAGGCTGCCCTCCAGAACTTTCTAAAAGGATACCCAGCAATTGTTCAGCAACTGCATTCAGTAAGTAATTTTGAAATATGTTTTTCTGGAACATCAAAAAGTATTCTTACAGAATTCTTTGGAATAAGGTTTTTGAGGTGGAGAAATATCTACCTTATCATTCCAAACTTGTGTTACAGGCTGATGAAGGCAAAAATGATACCGACCAACAGAAAGCCAGTGAACTTCTAGATCTTCTTCTCCAAGCTGATATCATCAAATTTGCTCATTTCTTGATGGACATCATTAGTGTCCTTAGCGTTCTGTCCCGTGCCAGTCAGAACAGGAATTCTTCAATTGCAGATATATTTACTACCTTGGAGTCAACACTGAAAATGCTCCAGATCTATCAATCAAGGTGACAGGTTGAGACCATCTGAGGGTCTGTCAAGGAAGACAGTTTGACAAGGGGACTTCTTTTCCTGGTGGGCATCCATTTAATTCTCTACTTGGGTGATCTTCTTCCAGACCAGGGCCAAAAGAACGCAGGGTGGATTCAGCCACACACTTTCATGGTAACTGCCTCCAGGGGAAAGAAAACATCTCTACCGTGAGAAAGGTGGTTTTAACACATCTTATCAAGAGGCTGCAAGACTGTTTCAGAGATGCCAGCCTAGATGTGGTGAGAGCAACCATGATTGCAAGCTTTAAACTGTGGCCCGCAAAGATAAATCAAGGTAACTCATAGGCACCAGTGACTCTGAACTCACTGTTCTGTCGACTGCATGATGTTATTTTGGGTATGTGATATTTTTGTTTATCTGTATCGATTGCAGAATTTGGAGAAAAAGAGATATCCATTCTGATCTCACATTATGAACCAGTTCTAGAAGCTGCCAATGTGAAAACTGACGAAGTAGATACCGAGTGGAGCATGTTAAAATTAGAAATATATGCCAGGTGAATAGGAAGCAAACTGAAGAAAGTGACATGTATCAGTAGCTGGGTAAAGGCTAGGTCTCTCAATCTTTCCTGTCCTTTCTCTTGCCTCCTAGATTTCAGAACGTTCGGAAGCTGACCTGGGATTTTGTAAACTCCATTTACTCACATAAATATCCAAATATCCTGACGCTCGTTGACTTAGTTCTGGCCCTCCCTGCAAGTTCAGCAGAACCAGAACGTGGATGTAGTCAGATAAAACGCTTCCACTTGCACATGGATGAGAAAACCAAGGCTGAGAGCTTGACAGACATCCTCGTCATTCAGCTGAACTCTCCAGACATCAGCAGCTTTGACCCTAGGAAAGCTATCCGTTTGTGGACTACAAGAACGCAGTCCTCAGCTGCTCACGTGGGACCTGATCTGGACAGCTCCTCGATCTCAGAAAGCCAAGATGAAAGAGACGAGTGATGCTGCTTACGTGATGTCGGCTTTGTTACTGATCGCAACAAAACTAAAGAAATAACCTTCAAAATATTTAAAGTAAAGTAGCAGCCAGTCTTTGCCTCAGAGGCAAAAGACACTTGGCATTTTCCAAATGTACAAAGAAATACAAAGCAAAAGAAAAAAAATTCAAAATCACTTTTGTTTTGCTTCTGTTCTGTGTTTGCATGGTTTGATTTCAATTCCTGGGGTGAAGGCTGGTACTCCTAAGCAGCATTTCAACGTCATCTTTCTGAGAAGTTTCTCGAAGGCTGAGTAGACTGATGCTCTTCGCTTGCTCAGACTTGCCAGACAACTGACTCTGGTTCCTGGATACTTCTGAAGTCTAGTTGCCTTGAGTAATTCACCATGCCAAACTGATGGAATTCTTTTTAAATTTATCTCTGAACAAATATTGTCACTGAAACTGTTATCGATAGTGTCTGAAAGGATCATATGCCTAAATGCCTTGGGCAGCTGAGTAACAAGGTCAAATGTTAAGAAGGCTTTCACACTTCACACTAAGATGCCCGTATGAACAAATCCTAGGTGAACCGAAAATAGCAAATTTTGCAACATTTTGTTTCCTAATGTCGCCATGAGAACATATTATACAATGGCTAGAATTTTAAGTGCTTTGCTTCTCTTGGCAGTTTTAGTAGATTTTATTTGTGGTTCCATCTTAAAGAACATGTTTGATTTATTTATAATATCTGAAACTCAGTGTGGCATCATATAAACTTTTATTTACAGGGAAACATTTTACCCTGGAAAAATGTTCTCATGACTAATATTAGATGCTTCTGTGAAGTCAAAATAATATAAAGTTCATCTCTGAATTACCTGTGGATGTTTAATTATACCAAAAGAATAAGGGTGAACTCCTGCTAATCATCGTATTGCCTTACAAGTCTTACAAAAATCCATGTGGTTTGAAACATCGACATTTCAAAGGGATAACTGCATGTTCCTAGGGGTTGGAAGAAGCAGTGTGGTTCATGTGGACTCGGTGATATGATGAAAACTCAGACATAAAAGGAAACCTTAGAATGTTATGTCTAATTCACCTTTGTTACTCCTGAAAACGGAATAGTTCTATACAGTGTACCTGACTAATACTTGGATGTATATAACTGGTCTCCCATAATTCTAGAAGGTACCTTGGCTCTTGTGTGTTAGCCAAAATTTTTGTTGTTGTTGTTTGCATTTATTTGTTTTGTTTCTCTATTTTTAATGCATGTGCATGCAACTTGGACTAAGATCTAAGAAGCTGTGTCTTGTAGATATACTAAAGTAGATTAGTGGGCAGGAGCAAGGCAGTTGGATATTTAGTAGTATTTTAGAGTTAATTAGAACCTGTAATCTCATTGAACTCATTCAATAGCCATCCAAACCTCCCTGCAGTTAGAAAGCAAGCAATTGCTACCTGGAGGACAAACTGGGAAAGGGGTGCTACCTTTGTTGTGGCATCTCGTTTGCATGCATTTGAAAAACGAACTGTTTTACCTCTGTGTTCTACTGGAGATAGCAAAAGTTATCATGGCTCTTAAAAATTCAAGCCACTTGGACCAAAACATCAAGGAAGATATGCAATTTTAATATTTTCTCAACCAGAAATGTTTACTTGTTTGTTTTCCTGGAACACAGAGGAGACTCTTTGGAGAGATAACAAGTGCATCAGGATTTTTAAAATGTTTTTAAAGTAGCCTCTTTCTAAAGTACAAGTTTCAGTGCTAGATAATTAATAAATTCAACAAGTAAATGTTTCCTTGTGTTGTAGGCGTCATAGGAAATAAGGCGTTCACTGACATTCTGCTTGATTTGGTGACCCTGAACCTCGGAACGAATAACTTCCCGAGCAGCTGGATGCACCTCACCCAGCCTGATGTAAGCATCTGCTTTGCTTAGGCACTAAAAGCCTTTAGTGCTGGCTTCACTTGATCTGTGAGTAGTTCTAAAAGAACTAATACTAACACAGTTGGTGGCACTAGCAAGAAGTCTATGAAATTTAAATGAGTGAAGGAACTTGAAAGTGAGACAGATTATTGATGACCAAACACTGACACATTTCAGGAACTGAGAGAATCAACCAAATTCCTATCAGCTTAGCTTGCAAGAAGCAGTAGATGATTTTGAGAGTCCTTGTTTCCCACCATAGGCTCATAGATGCCCTAGGAAATACAATAGTTACAGTACACTGCCATGTTTGTTTGTGATATTCCGTCTTTAACCTTCCACTGGTGAAGACGCAGGTTAACAGAAATGCCGAGAGTGAGTCGGAAGAGTAACAGTAAACAAAAACCATAAATGTCAAGAGAGCAAAATAAATAAAATCCTTTCTAGTTATTGAATGATGTGGATCAGTTGTTAGAACAGAAAACGAAAGTAAAGCCAAGCCAGAAATGGCTCTACCTGCCAATGCAAAATCCCTCTTCCCTTGGAACCAAGCTCTGAAAGCCTTAGTGGGAGGAGCTTCAAGTTATTCCCACAAACACTCCAGTGAGATATTCCTGTGTTCTTTCAGTTGCAGGAGATAACTTCTTTATTAACAGTAAACTCAGAGTTCGTGGACTGGAGGAAGTTCTTGATGGTCACAGCGATGCCATGGCCCATCCCCCTGGAGGAGGAGCTCCTGGAGACTCTGCAAAGGTTTAAGGCCCTGGACGAAGCACAGACAGGCACCATCACTTTCGAACAATATAAGCAGGTAGACCAGTAAAACCAGAGCCCTTTGTCCTAACGAGGGCCCAGCTCACTGATGACATGCCACATTTCAGGCCGCTGCTGTGTTCCTTAGAAGCTCATATGTAGCCAGCACAAACAGAGTCAAAGTCTTAGGCAGGAATTTGGCTTCTATCCTCAGGGAAAGCAACAGAAAAAGAAAAATAAAGCCAACATGTCCTGGGGAACTAAGGGTCCTTAATAAAGTCACAAAGCCTTCATTATCCTTCTTCTGAGTTCTCAGCCAGTAGTTAGCTGCCCATGGGTGTATATCAAAACCACATGCAGGCCTTTGAAGTGTCCGACTGTCCAGTCCCCTAAACTCCAAGGAGTAGCAAGAGCAGTGGTGAAGAATGTGGCAGCTGAAGGGAGTTTTGTACTTTTCCTTTGGAATGAGGGGATTAGTGGATGATGGAACTTCTTTTGACAGAGGTTCCTCTGTTCCATTTAAAATATCTATAGATATACAAGCAGAAGTGTCCTTCTTCAGGTCAAGAGGCAGTTCTAAGTCACTGCCATAGATGTGGAGGTTGAAAACTTGGATGTGTGAAATCACCTAAAAAAAAAAAGTGATAGGTGACCCAGAACACAATACCTGCTCACTCAAATTAGTGGGTGGAATGTAATGGTGGCTTGTTATAGAGCATGATTGTTGGAATTTTTAATACAGAAACCAAATTACAAATTATTGAAGAAAATAATTGGTCATTAGGATGATAAATGGAGAGAGAGAGAGAGAGAGAGAGAGAGAGAGAGAGAGGTCCTTCTAGCCATCAAGTCAGATATATGAACATCTACTGCAGTTTTTGAAAATTTGAATGTTGTGATTGGTGATGGAATTCTATACATGACACAGCTGCCTGAACTACTTGCTTCATCTCTACTGTGAGTGTGACTTGTTCACTAGTCCATATCACTAGAGACAACAAAGAAAGGAGTCATTTGTAAGGCCTTAACTTTGAAGCAGGTTAATGATCTGTAGGGAATTTTCTCCCGTGTGGTTTTTCACTGAAAGCTTCCAGAGCTTCCAGTCTTGTCTTGTTTAGATTAATAGGTGGCATCCTTTTCATTGGGTAGCCTAGAGGTTCCTGCACTCAGACACTGAAGCAAATGATGAAACACTTGATCCCTAATGGCTGATCAAGATGCTAGTTTGGCTAATTGAGCTCTGATGTATGTACTTCTCAAACACCAAATTAGGAATGTCGCACCTGCTTGCAATTTGTTATGATGACTTTCTTTGAAAAATGAAAGCCGTGAAGCAAAACCTATACTGTGCCCAGAGAGCTTAAGAGTTTTAAAAAACAGACATTTGTGGAGACATTAGTTGTTGATTGACGCAGGTTATCAAATTGAACATCTTCCTTTTACAAATAAGGGAACAAATGTTGTTGGCAACATTTTCCAAAACACTGATTCAAACTAGAACCGTCTGTTGGCATGAATCCCTTTCCTTCCTACTCCCAGATAGCCCAGGACTCTGACTGTGCACTTGACTTTACTGCATGCCTTTTTCAGACTTCAAACATTAGCTGGCTCACAAAAAAAAAATGCTCTTTCATGGGGGAAAAGTCAAAACCATTTCTAGAGGAAATTTTTATGTCATCTATTGAATATGTCACATTAGAGCAGTAAAGTAACATAACTGTGGTACTGAAATCAGCTTTTCTAGGAAGAAAAAACTGTCTGCTGTAATTTCTGTTTGTCTGCCTCTCTCCTTTGACTACTTGCAAGTTCACCACAACAGCCATTAAGACTTGTGCCAATTTCTGAAGTTTCTAAAATGGAAGTTGTTCAGACAATGTTCTGTGGCTGGGTAATGAACATAAAGTCTTATTTGTCTTTTGCTTCGGGTCCTGTTGTCACTATCACAAACTGTCCTATGTCGAGGTTTAATCAGACTATAGAATTGTATAGTGTAGAAATGTACAAAATGTAGAATTATATACTTTTGAAGCATCAACTCATCTTTTTACCAGTGAGAACATACAATTGCCACGAGCTCAGTCATTCAGATGGTCTAGGACCAAATTAAACACAGTACAACTTCTCTAAGGAAACGCCAATAAATTCTTTAGTCAAGTGTTAGTGTAACAGTGCCAAGAGCATTTTCATATTTTAAAGAGAAATAGCATCTATTAATCCAGTAAAGCAGTACACTTAACTGAATGTTGCTTCTCAGTTTAACCACATTCAGATTCAGTAGCTTAAAACTTAAAATTTCACACCACTAAAATTTTATGGTTAAGACTTTTGAGTTATTTTTGTATAGATTTTGTTGCTGTGTCTTTAAGTTCATTGGTATTTTCTCCACAGAGTAACTTACTAATCATATAATCAAGTATATTTTCCTGTCAGGTATAGTATTTTTTATTTCTATTAGTTGTAGAACTATCTCCTTTTCAGCATAGAAAGAAACCCATGCTTCACATCTACAGGAAACCCCTGGTTGCCATTAACTATTCCAGAAAGTGCAATCAATTCTTGGAATAAAGAAAAGAAAGCTTTGAGTATAGACAACGTAGTAACTCTTGGTACAAGTGTGCATGTGTGTGTGTGTGTGTGTGAAGAGTTTATTAGATATAAAATTCTAGTTTCTCAATATACAGTCTAGCAACTCAATACTTGTTGTATGGTGTTAAGTGGCCGACATGAATGTCAACTCAAAGTTGAGGTATAGTCAGGTCAAGGTGATGCTTAAAGGAGACGGATTAGAGGATCCTCTCTGCGGTGGTGTGATCTAAGCCTGGTCTAGAAGGAAATATTGATTTTCAGAATGAAAAGGAGGCTAGAAGTCACCTTAGACACAAAGGACAATCTGATCTAAAGACTAAGATCAGACACCGAATCTGAGCAGAGACTAGTGTAGCAACATTGAAGGTCTGAGCAATTCAATGGGGTCACATAAAAAAAAAGGCTGAAACAAGTATGAGGGAAACTGGAAAAAAAAAGATGAGTGGCTGACACATGGCAGAGGTCATACGGCTATATAATAGTAGGAGTGAAATTGGAACAAAAGGAAAAATGGTGGAGGCATTCCCAAATGGGAATAGGAAGACAATTTGAAGGTATGACCAAAATATGGGAAATGAAGGCTACTGTTATCAACACACAGACCCCTCCAAAGTGTAGTCAGCAAGAACTTAAGATGAGGTCATAACTTCCAAGTGATTGTCACACTCCAAACACTAAAACATAGCTAGAACCCCTACTATGTTGACTTTTATTTGTGTAATACATGTTGGTATGATATCACTAACAAATACTTTATCACATATGAAAATAAAAATGGCAAAAGGATGAGATTCAAAGAAATGCAAATGCATCTATTGTTTTTCTCCAGACTCTCTGTGTCTTCTCTAATCTATATTTTGGAGATCACTGGGTAGAGAGTAGAACAATATTGTTTCACATTTTGGCTTTAAGAGAA